AAAAGAAATAATTTAAAAATTAATGATAGAAACATGTTCAAACCTATAAAAGCTGCTAGGTCTTGCAAACTCTTTTTTTGTATTTTTTAGTACTTAAATTTATGATAAAAACACAAAAAATTAAACATTTCTATCATTTAAGATGGGTTTTTTCAATAACTTTCTAAATTTTAACATCTATTTTTGCGAACTCAGCTGTATACCCATACGAGTGTGTGTGTCCTTCTCAGTAAATGTATGAGTGTTCGCCATTTATTATGAGATGCCTCATCTTAAGAGGTCGTCAAGCAAAAAAAAAAGAGGATATGCTGGCGGGGCCATAAATTCCTTTTAATAACATATTCAAATTTAGATAATATCCGCCTCTAGTGCAATATTAATGCCTGCATCCTTTACAGATTTATAAATATACCTAACTCTTAGGGGTTTTTTATGGACTTTGATTGTGCAACGTTTGAAAAGTTTACTTCAGCATTGAGAAATTCCAGGACTTGAACTTTCCTTTCTCAACTCAAAGAGATTCAATGAGAGCTCGTACTCCCCCCTATCAGCAGCAGTTACATCCCAGATTCATAGTTGGAACATAGAAACTTCTTGGCATTTACGTAAGAACCTTCATGAATATGTATTCCCCGGGGAAACTGTCTATCCAACTGTCTGTGTATGTGTGTCTTCGTGTTATTAATGAAGCATTTGAAGCAACGTCTTCACTAACTTTTGGCGGACTTTTCTGAACGAACTGGGAAATGGCCATGGCGGAGGTGTAGGGATTTGCTGGGGATTTATATGAATTGACTGACGACGACGACTGAATGCGATGGCTGGCATTCACGCCCCCTTTGCTGGCCTCCCTGCCTTTCTGCCAAGGCAAATCTCCAATTGAAACGAACAAGAAATGGAAATTTATTGAACAGCATTCATATGCTGCGCATTATTAATATCGATTAGGGGGCGTTCGGCGGGCGTGGCAAGTCAGGGTGACTGGGCGCATCTTGTATGTATGTGTATGTATGAGAAAGTGTGGATCTGAGATTGAGATAGCTTGCACTTCTCTAGTTCCCTTTCGGCAAAGATAAATAAAAAATAGAGGTCTACAACAATGGTGCTTGGTTATCTTGAGTATGTTCGGGTATATGTATATACGGGGGATCGACCATTTTTTGTTTCCTTTTTTTTGCGAAACCATTGTTTCCCTGGGATACGTGACACTCACCACCCGGAACGCAGAATGGGGCAACATCTGTCTGCTAACTAAACGGCATTTCAGCAATAATCAAGGGTCCTTTGTTGTTGTCATTAGTTTGGGGCAGGCTGCCAACCCAAATCGAACACAAGCCACATGATTATGTGAGCCTATTTCGGGGGCCAACAAAAAGGAAAGCCAGGTGAAGCTTCTTTAAAACGCTGCAGCTACCAAAATTTATTGCAAGCGAATATATATTTTTGGGTAAGAAAAACATCTCTTTCTGACCATAGCCTATCAAATTTTGGCCATGTAGATGACAACAAAAAAAAAGCCGAATTCGTAAAAAAATCATTTAGGAAAATGAAAGACGTGACTTCGTTGCATTCTCAGCTGCTTGGGATGTTCATAAAAGGAGCAAAATTGATTTTTCTATAAAAAATAAAATAAAAGAAAAGGAAAGCAGCACAAAGTGGCACACTCTCGCATAGAGACACACACACACACACACACACATACATATGCACAAAGAAAAACGCTTCTAGGCAGCCGCAAAAGCAGAAAACAGAAGTAGGCCACACTAGAAGCATTTCCCCCATGGCACCCACATCCAACACCCACTATTTTCCCACCACCTCCCCCAGCTGAACCCTTAAACTCTTGTTTGAGCTGCACTTGAGGAAGATGCTGATGGTGGCCATACCCTCGCCAGGGGAACCACAAAACCATGCAGCTAGTTTAGCAAAATCGCACTTTTCAAGTTATCTGATTTAATCATTCCCAGCTGAAAGTTTTTATAACTTGAAGTTCTCTTTTCTCATGCCAAATACCACTAGGGAACTGCATTTAATTAAAGTCGTTCTAATTAAGAGGAATTTTTCGCTGAAATGGCTTAATAATATACATTTTACTATAAATTATGAATAATAAAATGATTTAAAAAAAAAAAAGTCTGTAAACATGATCATTCTATATAGAGTAATGCATATAAAAAGTCCTTAAAAAGGCAAGGAAATCAATTTGAACTGAATGAAAAATTCATAATTTATTGCATACTTATAGGCACTTTAATTAATTATAAGGAAAACCTGGGGATAATTGTAATTATTATTATTATAATATGTCTCCCAGTTCTTAATAACAATATAATAAAAATTCTAGGGTATCTCTAGCTCTACTCTACATAGTCCCCCGCTCAGCCTACTTGGCTTTTAACTTCTGCTGGCTACTTAGTTGCCGAGGCAGAGCCAGTTGGTTGCTTTATTGGCTGTGATTTAGTTGCGTTATGGCCAAATGATTGAGTGCCGGCTAAGAGTGCCGCTAATGCGGATCGTGCTAGAAAGCATGCCACTACAAAAATGGCAACAACGTGCGAAAGTGGCATAATGCTGCCCCATAATCATTAGCAAATGTATAGCAAAGTGTTGGAACTATTTGCATTTTCCCACTCTTTTTTTTCTTATTTTTTTTTTTTTTTGCTTTTGCACTTGCTTTGCATATTGTTCGAATTTCGAAAGAGTTTTCCCGTTTTCAGTGAAGTGACATGTGAATGATATCCTGCAAATCCCACAGCAGCAAAGCGGCAAACTGTGACTGCGAACAAAGTCGGATTCGTTGGCGACAAGGAGAAGCATCAGCGACAGGTAAGCTGATTATGTAACACACACATCCAGCAGTGGGGGTGGCAAAAACTGACGCCATTTTGTTTCGCAACTTTTCAACAGCTCTTTTTCAACTGTTTTTATTAGTGATTTCCGTTGAAAACAAGTTAAAATATGCGCATTAGATACATTTGTACGCCACCTGACGTCGCCTTGCCACCATCAGAGCTTTTGGCCGCCAAAAGGAATTTGCAACTAAAAAGTTTTTATGTGTGTGTGTGTGTGTATGTGGGAGAATATGTTGGACATGCACCTGCAGCAGACTTATTCGCATATCCAATATTGCTTTTCGACTTGCTAATACAGAGATAAAAACTTAGGATCTTAACTGATGGATAATCTAAGATTTTTAATACATGAATAGTTTTTAAGGCATTTAATATATTAAACAGGGCAAAATTAAGAAGATTTCCTTGCAGTTTTTATATCACTTATTGCCTCTTCATAATAACTACATACTCAAGCTGTCAAATAAGTAGATTTAGTCATGTTAGCATTTACTCTTTCCTCATTACAAGCGATCTCTTTGCTAACCCCAATAAGTATGCTACAGAAACCTTTCCTTTCACAGTGAAATCAATTTATGCGTTTTCTCTTTGTGTAAAACCTGATTGAATTGGGGTCACCTTTATAATCGAAGGTCGTTAATGGACAGCAATTATTCGGCGATCTCTCTGTAGCCAAAGAACGATTGCAAGGCAAGGCAAGGCAAGGCAAGGCAAGGCACCTGGCAGTGGCACTCGCACTAGCACTCTTTTCACCTCTTAACCAATAATTGATGGAGCCTCTGGGCCAGTCCAAGCCAAGCATTTGGATGAGTCCGACCAGACAAAGGATTACGGCGGGGAGCACTTGGCGGACTTAAATTGCCCAGCCTGGCTGGATGGCTGGTTGGTTGGTTGGTTGGTTGGTTGCCTGGCTGGTTCGTTGGCTGGCATGTGAGAGCACCCTGGCTGCCATGACATTTGAATAATGCACGTACCAAGTGAATGGGCGGAACAGGAGGAAGAGGAGGAGTAGGAGGAGGAGCAAAGGAACTAAAGGAACTGCCAGCGGGTGAACAGAACAGACCACCAATTCATTATCGATTGAATCGATGTGCAATGAGTACTGAAAACCTGATGGAAATTTCCTCGAAAAAGGAAAATGAATGGCAAAACAATGGCACAGATTCGATAATGCCGCAATTCAAAGGGAATTCAATAGAAAGCAAAAAAAATGAAAACAACAAAAAGAAAACCAGGCATTAAAGACCAGCTGGTCATGAAATTAAAGTACGAATCAATGGCCGTCTATTGTTTTCTATTTACTTGATGGCCGAAATGTAATTGTCAGTGTTTCGGAAAACACCGAAAGCCCCCCGGTATCCATTAGCAGTCGATGGTACAGAGACAACCTCAAACCCCGGCGGCACTGTCAACAGCTCAACATATCAATCATACGCAATGTGGTGCGTGTTTGGTGCGTGCCTCTAATGCCTTCAGTGCGGCGCAGGGTGGCACATACATGCGACGCTTGGTCTTATAAATAATTTAGACCGCATATTACTCCAAAATAACAACACCCTCCCCTGACGTTGACACCCCCCTTCTCCTTCTCCTTCTCCTTCTCCATATCTCAGTACACAAACACTCACACAAACACCAACACCAACACCAACACACACACACACACTAAGAAAAACTGTCATTAGTGAATTATTTAAATTACGGCGACGCCAGGAAAGCAAATATTACAGACAGGAAGGAACTGCCTGCTGTGAGAGTTTTGTTAAATTAACTTACCGACCAAAGACGGCAAAAGTACATAACGAAAAAAAACATCGTTTTAAATTCATGTTTATTTGAATAATATAATTGAAAAGCTGGGTAGTCGGTTTTCTTTGTAAGGAAACGTAGGTTGACTTTCACTTTTGAGAAGTGAAGAAATTTTTAATAACCTCTGAGATAGTAAGTCTTTTTCGTTTAAGAGGTTTGAGAGGCTAGAATGTTGAAGAAGGTTTTGTGGGAGAAAGGTTCTTGTTATTGAATATTTTTAAAGGTTTTCGATTAGTTAGGTTAGTTAAGCTTAAGTCAAGGATTTCCAAAAACTAAAACTTAGAGGCAGTAAGTAGTTTGTTTACTTAAGTTCTAGATTCCTCTCACCATCCTACTCACCTGAGATTCTCGATGCGCGGCCTTCGGCACTGCGGCCGATTGCGGCGATGGCTGCGATCCTTCTTGCAGCGGCAGTCGCAATGCATAATGCATAGGGCAATGGACGAGATGACCGTTATCACAAAGGGCACCGCGAAGAAGTGGATGATCATGGCCACCTGGTCGTCGTGATTATAGGATGTCAGTACCACTGTCTTATTTTTGCGCGAATAGAAACACGGAAAGATGGCGCCCTCGATGCCATAATAACCGTTGAAGTTTTTGCACGTCACCGATGGCGGATAGCCACATCCTTTGATATTAACCAAGAGTGTTGCCTCACCAGATTGCTCCATATCCGATGTAAAGTTACTATAATCGGTCAGATTCTCGGGTATCGTTATATTTTGTTCAATAAACGTCACATAAATATGAACGCAACGATATAAATCGGAGGTGCAGCCCTCGCGACACGAACTCCACGAGCAATTGAATATACCAACGAGATCCTCGCGACGCGTTGTCGTGCACAGCGTTGGCTTCTCGATAAAGTCGTGGCTCAGCGTCGATATGGCCGGATCGACATAGAGCGGTACGAGAAATAGCAGCGAGGCACCGGCGGTCACCGAGAAGAAGGCCAGTGTCGAGGTGCCATAGAAACGCGCACGTTCCCGCCACGAACGAAAGCGCCGATTGCCATTTTTCTTTTTCGGAGCCAGTTCTCGGATTTTACGTAACCGTAGCTCTTGTTGTTGCTGCTCGAGTAGTAATTCCGAACTGCCACTCCTCATATTATTGTCGGTGCACACAGGGCGCTGATGTTGCTGATTGTTGCTGCTGCTTCTGCTGCTGCTGCTGCTGCTTCTGCTGTGAGTGTTTCTGCTGCTGCTGACGTTGCTGCTGATGTTGCTGTTGCTGTTAGTGTTGCTGCTGTCGTTGCTGGCTGCGCAGCAGCAGCTGCAACGGCATCAACGCTGCTCCGTCGCCGCTCCGTCGCTCTGCTGCCGCTCTGCTCCCGATGTTGCACTTGTGTGTGCAACTTGCGACCGCCGTCCGCCTACCGCAACATCCAGAGTGCGGATTTTAGGTTATGTACACACGCTTCGGCGCAGGACAACGAATTCGAGAGAAAGTTTAGTTTTCGTTTTTCGCGGAGAGAAAGAGAACAAGAACAGCTGTTCCGGAGAAAGTCGAAAGTCGGGCGATAGGGAGCGGCAGAGACAGCGACAGCGGCAGAGACAGACAGAGAGAGAGACAGAGAAACAGAGACAGAGAAGGGGAGAGACAGAGAGCGACAGTCAGAGAAAAGCGCGCTCTGGCGTTTTCATTTGTCCTGGCTTATTGTTTACTCCGCTCGTTATTTTCACACGATTTAACAGCAGCTAAAACACTGAAAAATATTTATAATATTTTTATAAATTTTATAATTTATTTTATTTTCGTAATTCAATTTAATATTTTGGTATTTTTTAGGGATTTTTACGGTAGATTTTCTTTATTTTTTGCGACTGGCGTGGGTGGCACTTTTTTGTTAGAAGTCACAGCTGTTGATGTAGGTTAGTTAGAGAGGAACTTTTTCTCGGCAGAGAGAAAAGGAGAGTACATGTGTGTGGGTGAAAGTTCTGCTGTCCAGGCTGACTGCGCTGTTAACGCCAACGGCAACGGCAACGTCAACGTCAACGTCGGCGTTGAAATGTCTACTGGTGTCGCCCTAGTGACTGTGTAACCTTTTTTGTCTCTGTGTGTTGTGGGTGGAATTATTTATGCTACACATTTTGTGCGGCGGCTTTTCGCTTTTCGGTTGCCAGTTTGCCAGTTTGGCAGTGCCTTGGCATTTTGATATTATTATTCTTCAATTTATTTGCATTTCTTTGCCCTACCAGCAAAGCAGCAGTACAACATCCTTGATTTATTACAGATCTCAGTGGGCTTTTTTTGTTTTCTGATCTAACTAGTTCGGCTAAACACCCCTAAACACCCACACCACAAACATCCTTGGTTCACCTTGATTCAGAACATTTGAAAATTGCTGCCACTGTTGTTGTTGCTGTTGTTGTTGTTGTTGCAACTTCGCGTGACTCTGGACTTTGGTCAGGTTGGGACATTAGCTCTCGCGTCCTTTGTTCTTGCCCCGTTTTATTGCTGGCCTGTTTCATTTCATTTCATTTATTTTGCTAGCCATTGTTTTTTGCCATGGCACGCATTTCACAATTTTCATCATAGACACCCACACACACACAAACAAAACACACACACAGAGACAGAAACACACACAGAGTTAGAGGCGGACAGTAGGTGAGCTTAACTGTTATTGCTTCTGTGTAGTTGGTATGATTTCATTTTCATGCTTTGCTCGGCCAACGCGGCGTATGAGTAATGCACTTGGCTGTCACACATAGATTTCTTGTTTAAACTAACCAAATAGCGCTATGTGGACCTTGAAAGACTTGAATTCTGGAAGCTTTTCTAACACTAAGAAAAACGCAAACGCAGCTGGTCAGGAAAATTCTTGGGAAAACTCCTTGAGCGCCTGTCATTGCCATAAGAATTAAGTAGGAAGTACACGGCAAGGATTGATGGTCTTCTTTATTAAGAAGTAATAAGTGCATTAAATTTTTAATCTTAGCTACTGAATCTAAGCTGACGAAGTATGATCAAATTTCTCTAAATTGTACAATTTTTGTGGCCAAAGTTGTACATTTTTATGAAACAAATTTTAAGTTTTTCATATCAAAAATATCAAAAGGGTACTAAAAACTTATGTTAATCATTTTTTAAACTTAAAGTCTTTTGGCATACTAAACAGTAATCTCCCTGTCTTTACTACATTTCCCCCATATTCGTTTCCCACATTTTTGTTTACAGTGCACCGCCCACGCCTTTTATGGAGCTGCAAAGGTCTAGAGGACTAAAGGAGGGAAGAGTCAGGCTTCAGCTAAAGAACTCAAATAGAAATAAAAATGAAAATACAAGAACAAAAAAAAAACTAAATGAAAATAAAACATTAGTCTCCGCTCGAGTCGAACTAACTTTTGACAGCTGAACTGGCAGCTGAAGAGCCCGCAGCTCCGCGTTTCCCGCTCCGCCAGCGGACTTTTGTTGATTTTGTTGCTAACGCGGTGTTGAGCTTAAGGTTTTCCCTTCCCAATTTCTTTTTGTATTATGTTTATTATTTTTATTTCTCCAACACTTTCACTTGATTCTTTTTTTTTTTTTTTGAGACTTGCACTTGAATTTAGCCAGAGAGAGTGAGAGTGAGAAAGGGGAAGAGGGGGTGTTTGGTGTGTGTGTGTTTTAGCCAGACGTATTTTGCACGTATTTTTGCACGATTACGGCACGGTATTTGCCACAGAATTGGAATTGGCTAACACCGACGACGCTGCCATTGGCTCACGCACACACACTGGCACAGGCTCACAGACACACGCTCACGCTCACGCACACGCTGGCGGACGACAGACAGACTGACGGAATTCTCGACACGAGAAGCGCGCGCGCTTGGCCCTAACGTGCCGCTCGGAGTGTTTGTCCAAAACTGACTCAGGACTCAGGACACAGGACTCTGAGGCATGGTCTCACGTCCCGAATTCGCCACCCTTTCGTTTTTTTCCCTCATTTTGTTGTTGTTGTTTTTGGTTTTCGGGGGCGGCGCCGCAGCGATGCGTCAACGCCGGCAGCGCTGCCAACGGGGAACGCAATTTGGCCGAAGTAACGATAACAGCTATACAAGCGTCGAGAATTCGCGTGTGCGCGCTCTCTAAAGAGAGAGAGAGAGAGAGAGAGAGAGAAAAAGGAGCTTCAAAGAGCAAGAGAGCGAAACAGGACTAGGACGCAGGCTTTGTTGGCAAAACAAATCTGCACTGCTTGCGGGATTTCAACAAACAGAGCCGCTCCCATTAAGTATACGCACTGTCAGCCGGCTCACAACAAGTCTAAAGGCTATAAATATAATTTTAAAAAAAATTGAAAATTTAAATATATTTTATATATACTATTATTTTAAAAAACAGAAAGATTTCTTGAAATATAAGAATTGTAATTTAAATTTGTAGAAAAAATAGCTTTTAGCTCGTACACCAACCATAGAAAGGTTCTTGAACAGGAAAATGTAATTTAAGAGATTTTCTACCAGTGTATTTAAGACCATACATTACATGCTATAATTTAGGTATAAACATTTTTATTTATTTTAATTAAACTTAAGCCGTTTTTTAAGTGCCTTTGTGTAAGAATATATATTTTTTTAATTTTTTAAATATAAAATAAAATTAATTTAAAGAATTTATTGTTTAATTATTGTTAGGTTAAGTGGTTAAGTTTAGTTAGTTGTTAAATGTATTTAGTATTTAAGTCGTTAGTACTATTTTACTTCATAATAACACGATCCAACCTAAGTTCGATCATTTTACAACACTGTAAAAAGGTACAAAAATATCGATGTCATCTCAACACAAAGTGTATGTACATTTGCTAACCGGTCGGTGGTACATTCCAAAAAAAAAAGATGTCTGCAAAACTTGTAAGTAACAAATATAATTTAAACATTTAATTAAAAAGTTTTTTATATTACTTAATGTTCAGTTAATATTCAACCGAGCAGTGAAGTGATCGCATAGCCTTACAAGTATTTATGTTGCATTCTCAAAGGTCGTGTCTTTTTATCAATCTGTGTCATTTATCAGGTATATATAATGTATACTTTGTAGCTGGCATAGGAATATAATAAAAGATTTTAGCACTAAGCTAAACATTGTGGGGTAAGAACTTCCGCATAACCCCTTCTGGGGAAAGGTATTCTATATTAAAGCCATTGCTAAATAAGTTTTTATTAGTTTTCAACAGTTTTTTTTACTTATATCCTGATGGCAACCAAAATGGCTTTCTGGTTGTTCGCCACTTACACACTTACACTTCCACTTACACTTATATATAATCTAGCTTATCGGAGTGAGATCATCATAACATCTAAAGTATCTACAAAAAAAGCAAATGTAGTCTTCAAATTCAGGATTCTGCAGGATCGACGATAAGAATAATAGTTTCTGGAAGTTAGTAACTAGTTAGTAGCTTAACTAAATGTCACGCCATTTGTTGTTTGCCTTTGTAAAAAAAGGATTACACACAAGAGGCATTAGTATAGGTATTTAGCAACTTTGTTTAACTAAGTTTAATATTTTAGTTTGAAATTTCCACGATCTACCGTCAGCATAGCAGTAATTAATACGATTCTTCGGATAATATTCGTTTTATTTCACTTATTTCTTACTTTGAGGGTTTAGTTGTTCTACAGATGAAATTAACTGAAAAGAAAAGCATTTGTAAGTTTTGATATTAAGCAATGAAAATATATTTTATACTCACTCACAGTCTTTCCTTTGCATCCCAAATAATTGTTTTACCGAAATATGGCTAGTTTCGAAAATTCTTAGCTCCGAAATTTTCTCGATCGATCACGCAGATCCGGTGGTGGCGGAGAAGTATACGAGGAGAATAATCTTCGATTCGATGATATCGTATTTATTTGCGTTAAACTTTCACTTCTTGGTAGATTTTTATATATATTAAATATGACGTGTTCTTACATCCTCTCCTAGGTCCGAGCCATCTACGTAAGAGTTGCATGTAGCGGCCATACAGTCTGTTTTTACTTTATTTTCAGATTTTGATCAGCTAATGGTTTTGGGTGATTTTAGCATACTACAAACTAACTGGTCGTTTAGCTTTAAAACCCTCTTCACCTCACTATTTTGTTACAGGATTGTTAGACAAATTAACCATGTCAAGAACTCTTTGGGTCAGCTACTCGATCTATGCTTTATCTCAAATTCGGACTGTGGTGCCACGTTTTCCCATATTTGGAAGGAATCTTTCGTCATTCCTTTACAAAAGAAAGGGAAAACTTCGGATGCTGGTAATTATAGAGGTACCTCTAATTATCAGCAATTCCAAAACTCTTTGAGAAAATCATTGTTCTATTTCTCAGCTAATTTTTACATTATTCTTAAAGGACCTTGACTTGACGTCATTTTTTGTAGGCCATTAGGCGATAAGCACGTTATCGGGCGTAAGAGTGTTGTTTGAGTGGTACTAAGTGTTTGGGGATCGTCGGAGCTTTTCCCACCAAACAAGGCCAGTTTTGACTCATCTGTCCACAGAATATGGCGCCATTTCGTCACTGATCAGTTCAAATGGCTTTTTGCAAACTCCAATCGTGCTTGGATATCTTATTTACCAAGTAATTGCATTAATGGCATTTAAATTTGCATTTACTAATCGACGGCGAATGGTAACGTCGCTGATTCGATGATGATGAGAAAAGGATTCGCTTTGATGAAACGCACTATTTTTCGGTCCTCAATACGTGTTTCGGCCTACCACTCACATTTAATGGCATTGTATACCATTTTGGCAGAACATATCTTGGATTTCTTAATAGGGTTTTCCCTGCTTTCTAAGCTAAACTATCAAATTTCTTTCTTCCTCTGAACAGTGGCGTTCTCTAACCAATAAAATTAGAATTTTCTAATGTTTATTGTGTATTTTCATTTAAATTGAATTAATAATCACTTTTTGCGAAATTTTTAATGTTTTCGTGACTTTTTGTGGATAAAAATGGAAAACTAATATTTTTATGAAGAGCCAAAAACTTGTGATTTTCCACAAGAATGTCCAGAAAACGCAAATAAGAAGCAAAACCAACGGAACTCTTTTACTTTTCCTATCTCTATATTCCATTTTATAAAAACAATAATCGAGCGATCAACTAACGAAAAGGAAAATGCAAAAATTACCGTTGTTTTACTACTACTACTGCTACTACTATTGCACTGCTATTTTTATGAATACAGCTGTCCTATTGGATGCAAAGCTTAAATTTTCCAACCACATTTTTCCATGGTTAACAAGGCCAGAGGTTTGCTAGGTTTTTTTAAAAGATCTTCGAAAGAATTTAATGACCCTTATGTTACTAAAACTATATTTGTCTCCCTCGTTTGTCCGATCTTAAAGTATGGATCTTGCGTCTCGAATCCTCAGTACGCGGTCCACCAAGACCGCATAGATTCTGTCCAAAAAGACTTCCTTATATTGGGATGCAAACTTACATCTTCCCTATTATAACAGTAGACTACTATTAATAACCTTGCCGAATCTTGCTAACCGTAGGACAATGCCTTTCGATGTCTTTATTACCAATCTTATTAGCGGAGATATTGATAGATATTAACAGAAATAAGTTATACAAGGTCAAACGAAGTCATTCATTATAATATTATAGACGCCATAGTTTTCCGCGGTTTGTGGGCGTTAGAGTTGGCGTGGCCGGATGCAACTTCGTGACAAGTTGCAGAGGCATCTTTTAAATACATGTTCCTAAGCGTGATTGTAACTCTTATAGTTTTCGAGATTTTTGCATTTTTGGTTTTTCGGGTTTTGTGGGCGTTAGAGTGGGCGTGTCTTGATCTTGAAAAAAAACAATTCCCATTGGGAGCATTATAAAAACCTACATGCTTATTCCGAACTTTCTATCGCTTATAGTTACCGAGATATCAGGTTTTCTAGAAAATCCGAAAACCGTCTTTTGAGCATTGTGTGCGTATGGGTGGGTGTGGCCGGATAGTAGTACCACTATAAGATGCCCTGGCATCTAAAGATTATACTTTCTGAATTTCAACTTTTTAGCTCCAATAGTTCCTGAGATTCCAGCAATTTTAGTTTTTCTTGATTTGTGGGCGTTAGAGTGGGCGTGGCAGAATGCTGAATGCAGAATGCTTACGCTGTCCCGGGACCTCAAGAATCTTCATGCTTAATCTCAACTTTGTATCTGCTATAGTTCCTGAGATCTCAGCGTTCATACGGACGGACGGACGGACAGACGGACGGACAGACGGACGGACAGACGGACTTGGCTCAATCGACTTCGCTATTGATCCTGATCAAGAATATATATACTTTATAGGGTCGGAAACGCTTCCTTCTATCTGTTACATACTTTTCAACGAATCAAGTATACCCTTTTACTCTACGAGTAACGGGTATAAAAAGAAGTCTGATCTGTCAGACAGAACATATATAGACCGTTATAGCCATATACATATGTCTGTCCGATCTTTCAAAACATTTTGACAAGCCAAAAAGATAAGAAATTAAAACTTTCTCAATTGCTTTTAAGTATTTGGTTGCGGAATAAGTTTTTTTTTAATCCCAGGCAAATTTTGGGTTAAACTTAAACAATTTTGCCCACTGTAGAAGGTAGTAATATATGACGATGAATGTCGCTCAGAGCTACATCCTATATATAATGTGTCATATGAGTCTTAAGCGCTCTGAGCAACTTATCTATATATACTCGTATATTTATAATATATATATGAGGTCATTGAAATTGATAATGCTATATACAGCTTCTTTTTCATATTTGAGAATAATTATGGGTTTTAAGAACAGTTTAGATTAATACTCAGACATTGCAACTACACAAGAAAAACACAATTTAGTGTTAAAAACATTTCTCCACTTACGAATTGGCTAAGCGAACCTAACAAGTATTTCCAAATTCCTCTGCAAAATACTGCAAAAAAGTCAAGTTAATATTACTGTTTATTAGTCATTTAAAAAATGTATAGCAAACTTCTAGAATATATATTCTGTAGATACTATTGTTTCTGAATTAAAATATTATGATTCTTCCCGACGAACGTCTGCTCTGGGGTCTTGCTTTTGATTAACTAACTTGCAGTCACACAAGTCACAATCTTTGGAATGAAAAATGTACAATCATGTGGAATATTATATACTTATATTGATAATTATACAATTTTATATACTGCATTCGTTGAACTGTATGTAGAAAAGAAGTGAAAAGTTCATATATTCTGAATAGGGATTAATGGCCCAGTTGATTTAGCCATGTCCGGTTGTCGGCCAGTTTTTCCGTTTGTCTGTATGTCAAAATAGAGAAGATGGAAAACATTTTTTTCCTACCTTATAAAGTATATGTCTTCTGGATCAGAATCTAGTCATTGAGTCGATTTAGCAATGCACTGCAATGTGCGTTCGCCTGTTCTTTTTTCTGTATTAACTCTGAGATTGGAAGGTTGGGACTAAGCACGCAGCGCAAGTTTATTTCAACACCCTGCCATGCCCACTTATGCATCCATAACACCCGACGAATTTAAAAATATTATAATTTTGAAACACAGCAGTAAGCCACTGCCATTAAATCGGTACATAAACCGCTCAAAAAATGTGGCGTACAAAATATTAAGACCAATTTTTGCATTTTCGATACCATCATTAATTTTTGCTACAAATTTTCATGAATTTTTCCGCAAAATTGCCAAATAGTGAACTTTCAAGGCTGGAATATATCCCTACTAGAATTTTATTTAATTTGGAAATGCATTTTACTATATCTGCCGAACTTTAAAATTTTTCCCATGGCTTTGAGGCGTCTTCCAACGGTGCTCTGATCAACATTCAATTACTCTGGTAATCTACCAAAAATTATTCGACCACTATTGTTACCGATTATTCTTATCAGCAATCATGACTAAGCTACTAACTTCTTTGTCTGTAATTCATTGCAATTGTGTCAGTTGGAAAAATAATCTATAAAACAGCGAATTAGATTTACAAGAAAGTAGATTTTTATCAGTGTGCAGTAAAAGATTGCAGATTAGTGATATTTTTGTTTAGGTTGACCTTACTGGCCACTTTTTATTGCAGTTTTGCTCAGTAACTTTCCGAAAGCAAAAGCAGTAAAAGGAATCAACGGAACTTTTTTGGTAATTTACTAATAAGAAATTCATTCAGTTGGTGATCTCATATTAAATAATACCTTTGCCGAGTTCAGTGTCCCGGTTAATTCATTTTACCAGCAATGTATATCAAAAAGGTAAGAAGGCTGAAAATATTTAACGAAGTTAATGAACAAGAAATAGCATTTTTGTTTCTTACAATGCTTTCTGTCGGTATGAAACCACCAAATAACTTTGAGGAGAGTTTTTAAAAACAAAGTCAATTAAGTGGCCATTTTTATTCACAATTTCAATATGATTTCTTTTATCGGAATTTGCCATTAGCCTTGATCTCGTCAATAGATAACTCCACAAAAAAAAAATAAGAAGGAAGAACTAAATCAGGCGATGGCCAGTTAATGTCGCTTCTATTTAACACCAGACGTCTCGGGAATATTCGGTTGTAGAAATACAATTGTTGCCCTTGCATGTGGAAAGATGCACCATCAGTAATCATGTAGATTTTTCACACTATTATATATAAATTTTCATGGAAGAAAATGCACTTCTCAATCGCCATTAACGTGCAACCACTGACTACGCCATTCCAATTTATAAGTCGGTATAAAAGCAACTTGGACTTATCACATCTAGCTGCAATCTAATCTATTTACAATTTTACTTATTTACTAATATAGAGGTGCTATTGTCTATACTCAAAAATTAGATACTTATACTTACTCATAGAGTGAAAGTATGTAACAGGTATAAAGAAGGGTTTCCGACTCTTGATAAGTATCAATAGCGAAGTCGATGGAGCCATGTCCGTCTGTCCGTCCTTCTGTCCATCCGTCTGTCTGTCCGTCCGTCTGTCCGTCTGTCCGTCCGTCTGTCTGTCCGTATGAACGCTGAGATCTCTGGAACTATAATCCTGAGGTCCCTACGCCACGCCCACTCTAACGCCCACAAGCCTCAGAACACTGTGGCATCCATAATATTATAGTGTATATCTTCGTTTGACTTTGTATAACCTTTTTTGTCAATATCTATCGATTTACCAAAGAACTTTCAAATCGAAACATCATTTCGCTATTTATGAAGAAATTTATAAGAAGAAAGTTATAAGACCTCACATGGGCAGTGAAGTCACTTTCAGTTACTCAACATGCTTTCTCCGACAATAGGTGGCGCTTTGTGAATTTCCACTAGCAAAATAAATATTTCAAAATTGTGTAAAACAGTAACGGGTATCTAAAACTCACGGCACTCGACTATACCGTTTCTTCTTGTTTTTTTTAAGGTTTTTTACTGCGCTTTTGCATTGATGGCCTTACCGATAACAAAATTGATCGAATTATGTGGCTGTTTGGTAAAAGGAACAGGGGACGGCTCCCTAGCCGCCGACTGCAGCTACAGGTCGGACTTCAATATGACGTGTTTGGCCATGCTGGAGCTGTCATCCTTCGATCTAAGTGGGAATGGTCTTAGACGAGTTCCAAATATAACTGGATTTGAGACTGTTACAGATTTTAATCTGTCATATAATAATATCACAGAGCTAGCCAGCTGCAATTTATTTTATATGCCTCGTTTGAAAACGTTGAACTTAAGCCATAACTCTATTGAGAAATTATCGAGTGATGTCTGTAGCATACCCAACATCGATTTGAGTTTCAACAACCTAACTGATCTCCATGATTTGGAAAGCAACTGGAAGACAATGGCCAATGTCCAGGGCAATCCGTTTTGGTGCGACTGCAATTCCAGTCCAGTTAAGCTATTGGCAAGAAAGGTTAGTTATTAGTTAAACATTTTATTTACATTTTAATATTATTAATTATTCCAGTCGAGTGAATCTAATATACAGAACATCGAATGCATTCACCGTGGCAACTATTTGTCTAAGCCCTTGGCCCAGCTGTGCTACACGGAGATCAACGCAGATCAAAAAATTTCTAACCATTCCTACTTGATCATCTTTGTATTTTTCTTAATGATCTTCTTCGGTGGCATTTGCTGTCTACATGAAATGAAGTAAAATCTTATAAAATTTTCTAAGGTAAGGAACCTTTGGGGCAGGTTTATTATTAGTAAATTTGGTATATATTTTGTATTATTTTGTATTTTTTTGTATTATTTTGAAAAATAAAATTGGTTTAACAACCAATGACTTTGTTTTATTTTGAATGGTAAATCTATTTATAAGCTATCAGCACTATTATGTTGTTCAAAACTAAAAGCTTTTTTTATTTTACTTATTTGGAGATTAAGTTCTAAGTTAGTTCTTCTAACTTTTTTCCATTTTTGAAAAAAGAACCAATACGTACGTTTAAATAAATCCTTGAACAAAATGCCAAAAAAATCATAATACAAAAATATTTAAAAAAAATTATTTTCTTTAAAAATTTGTTTAATTTCAGCCACTTAATTATTTTGCTTTTTTATTTCAATTAAATGTTAAGCACATTACGTGCAGTTACGTTGTTACTACGTAAGTGAAGACATGAACCTTTTCATAAGGAAGAATCAAAGTGACGATTCATAGCCACTTACAGATGGCGCCAGCACATGGTTTGCGCTACAAACTTTTAAATTAAAACAAAAAATCTTTTAAATATTTTCTCTGCTGCTGAATTTTGTGAAAAAATTTATTTATTTTATAAAGAAAGTTTTTTAAAAAAAACCAATTTAAGAAAATCTTTTTTTTTTTATAATTTTTTGTTAATCAGAAAGTTTGTGTAAAAAGTTTGAAAATATTCGAAAACAAAGTTTAAAAATACTTTCAAAAAAACCTAAAAAAACTAAAAACATCAAAGTGAAATGCATGCCTGAATGCAGGCAAGTAAATTGAATATAAATAAAATTCTTCTCTGGTTAATAATTTTTACAAATAGTAAACTGCAATTATCTTTTTATAATTTTAAAGGTAATTACAGATGTAAAATTTTTTTAAAAAGCTCAAGAATATTAAATATTAAATATTTATAGATATATATATAAAATACTAAAACAATATAGTTTTCCCAGCCAAGGTCTGCGGCACACAGCACATCCCTGACACAGATTGTGCCACCCGAAAAGGCCAAGAAAGTGGGTCAGTAAGTGACGTGGCTGGGTGACCCATTTGCACCCCCTAAAAACACGGCCTAGCTGCAAAGTTGCCAAGGTTGTAGCCGTCTTTGGCCTGATTTTGATTTCATTTTTTTTTTTAGCCAAGGGTTAGTTTGATTCTCTGTTTACTCGATTGAACAGTCTGCCTGGTTGCAAGCAGTCAGCAGTTTTTCCCTCTGACAGCTGGTTGCAGCCTCTCAACTGAACTCTCCCCTCTGTCAGCCCAAAAGCAACCCAATTTCTACTATGAGGCATTAATTTGTCTATTGCTGCGTATCGGTGTTTGCCCAATGCCCATATTTGTGTGTTTTGTCCAAACAAAAAGTCTTGCAGCCAAACAATGAAAACTGTTGTTGTCTGTTTTTCCAGCAATAGAATTTATGACCCAATGTCAACAGCACGCACAGTTTTCCATTTTGGTTGGTGGTTGGCCAAAGGAGCTTCTCTTTTGCTCCTCTGATCTTGGATATTGAATCTTGAATGGTGGATGGTGGATGTTCCATTCCATTCCTGGCTTTTCGATTGAATCGTCGTCCATTGGTGAAATCGGCCACGCCAAGGAAAGTTGCTGTCAGGTGGCCGCTTGACCCCAGACATCGAGTTGGGTTGGCCAAACAGACTACCAGCTCCGAAAACTTCAAAGTGCACAGCGAGAAATTAGTGATTAAAGCAATTTTAATCTGTCATTTAGTATGATCTATGATTTAATATGATCTAAGTTAATATTGTTTAGAATTTAATTTATAGATTATCTTGAAAAAAAGGAGACTTTTTCTCTACGTGTAAAAACCGGTTGTCAAAACTCAATCAGATTGTGGCAATGCTTTTTTGTCATTCACTTGCCTCAGACTGCACATGACATAAATTTGTATCTGCAGCTGATTGTGAGTCGTGTAATAGCAACATGTATCTTGTCTACAATTTATGCTTCCTGCAATTCCACCCGATCAGCAGTCCATCAGCCACATCCCAACTCCTAAACTCCAACTCCAACCACTTGCATGTCCGTGTTGACATGTTCACATCAATCAGACGACCCTGGTAACTTGATTTTCCCTGAGTCCAGCCAAACAAATGAATCTCCCCTCGCCAACCATTGGGATGTCAAAAAAGTTAAAAAAAAAAACGAAGAAGAGAAGTGGAAACTTTGTCAGACAAACAGGTAAACATTCTAATGATCCCCGCACGCAACTTCAAATGTCAAGGCCTTCGAAATCGGAGTGGGAGTTAGCTAGCCAACTATTAGCTATATATATATATGTCTGGTGGTGTATATATATATATATATATAGAAACTCCGAAGTCAAGGGCGATTTCCGCCATCTGCGATTTGCATTTGGAGCTGCCACATAATGTTTGTTTTCTGTTCTATGTTTGCCAGCTGACATCTTTTTGATGGACAACTCGACTCGGCGTCGGTGGCATGTCCACATCAACATTAACATCCATGTCCAAGCTCTCCTCGATGTTCACCTCCGCATCCAAGTCCATGTCCAAGTTACCCCGTCATGACAGCAAATTTGCCTTGGTTTGACATGCTCCTTTCCACTTTTTTGGCTGAAACGAAGCGATTCTAATTAGTGAGGAGTTGCAGATGGGGTTGACTTACATAATGATATGATGAGTGGTGGAAACTCTAAAGATTTTTAATGGTTAATAAAGATTAAAAAGAGTTAATAAGAATCTTTGATGTGTTCTTTGGAAACCATAATGCTTAATCATAAAACTTTAAAGTAAGTTATTTAAGTTTAAATTAAACATATAAGTTTATGAGTTTATCCTTGTCTAATCTATCCTTATCTTACCTTTACCTTATCCATTTAATGATTTCATTTAATCTTTGATTTGCTTACAACTTGCACTTTCCCTGCGTCATCAAACAGTAGCAAGATGCCCTCATCTCCTCATCTCCTCATTCCACCCTTTCGATCAGGGTAATTTCAAGTTGATTTCTTGCCAACAAAGGCCGTCCATTGTGGCACCTTCCTCCATATGAATATGTCTTGTACCTTTGACGATACCTAGGCATCAACCTCAACATCAACATCCACATCCACATCAGCGTAATTGAATGGAACGGTATGGAATGACATACATATTTTCGAAATCCGGTTTCGAAGGCGATCCAATCAAATCCGCACTCATACAGCCAAAAGTGCGCATATCTACGGCTATAAGCATGTGATAAAGGAGGCAATGAAAATACGCTGAGAATATTAATTGAAAATTGAAATTATAAAGGGAAAAGTTTAGGAAATAAAATAAGAAACTTACTAAAAAGAGAGATTTTCTTGTAAGATATTATTTCTTAGCATTAAGTTCCTTATGATAACTATGCATTCCACCTTTTTTCTTCAAGTGTAGTAACTAAAAGCGGCGCCCTACCAAATGCAGAGGCTATAATAACACTGACAAAAAAAGGAAAACAAAAATAATAATTACAACTTCACAAAGAAAACTGAAGAAATCCGGTTTAATTTTCATAAAATTCGAATAAAATCTGAAAATTCGGTAAGTGGTCAAGAGGGCAGTGGCTATAGCAATGACAGGGTGATGAGGCGGGCAAGGGGGGTTCTTTCTCAAGTGCAACAGCTGCTGAGAGCTTTTTGCTGGCTGTCCCTCCAGTTGGAGCGAGTCCAATCAGAACGGCCAGCGAATTGGGGCCGCTGTTAGCTAACAGTTGATTCCCGTTCTAATTGCGCTCTCTTACATTCTGTAATGACTCTACAGCTCTCTATTGACACTCTCTCTCACTCTGTATATATATATATTTACAGCGCACTAGTATGCACTCTCTTTGGCATTAGAGTGAGGCGGCACACTGTTGCCCTCTCAACTGGTTGACCTATTTTCCAGTTTGGGTAATGTGTCAATGCGATTGTATGCGTTCATCTGTGTATCTGAGTGTCGGTGTATATGTTGCTGTATCTGTGTGTGCATGTTTTCATGTTTTCTGTATCTAAATATTGCCATCTCGTTCTGTCTAACGCCTATGCTTTGTTTTGGTTTTGCCTCTTGCCTTTTACGTTTTCCTTCGTTATTCGTTTGCTGGCTTTGCTTTTGGTGTTGTAACCCATGGATTGCATTCACATTCACATTTACATTCACTTTGTTGTTTTCTTTTTCGTAACTGCGTATTTGTTGTAGCTCTGGTAACGCTCTGTTGATTCGCTATTGTTGTTGTTGTATTTGCTGCTTCTGCTGCTGCGGAATTTCCACTGGAGAAATGATTAATTGAATTTACCAGATAGTTCATCTTTGCACTTGGCCGCCACTCCTCTTCATCTCCTTCCTTATTTTTTTTGTATCTTTATTATTATTCCGCCCTCAAAAGTGGGTAAGAAATCCGCAATTTTAGCTTACACATATCGAGTAGCTAAATACCAGATGAACTTTTTCAAATCAAAAGTTATTAATAATGCTTATTTTTAATAGTTAAACTTGTTTAAGCAGCTAGGTAGAGTTTAAAGGCTAGGCAAATAAAGTTTATATTTTTTGCATTTAAAGTTTGTATTAAATGTTATAGATACTCGTATAGAGATAGATACATTCTATAGACTTATAATAAAGAATAATTTGCTGCGATATTCCTACTAAAAATTCAAATATAATTCAAACTGAGTGCTATAATATTAGTCAGAGTTTACAAAATGATTTATTGGAATTTTCCATGGTTGTATGAAGTGTAATGATAGCTTTAAAAGGGTAATAAAAATATAATATATTTTTTACAATAATAATTACTTAAAAATCTCTAAAATAGCTTTTTAAAGACACCTTCTCCCTAATACATAGTTCTACTGATGATGATTAATAGATTATTTTGTACCAGCTAGCGGTCTCAATTGGAAGTCAATTTGAATTATTAAACAAATTTGACCCGCATACATGTTAAAAAAAAACTTACAAGCCAAAATCAAGTAAAACTGTCTCAACTTTTTTCTCCGTGTAGCCAGCCCCTCGCATAGATAAGAAGGCTACATAAGTTTTTCCTTCGACTGTAATCAGTTGAGTTTTTCGGCCAGATAAGAACCGAAAGCATTATTTCCGCACTATCTGACAAGGTCTTCCGTCCGTCCATCCGTTCGTCCATTTTCGACTATTACTTTTGGGTTGACTTAACAATCGCTTGCTGTTCGCTGTTGGAGTGGGAAATACGCAGTGCATTTTCCTTGATTTCCACTCCGTTCGCAAATGACGTCTTCGATAATGCTGGGTAGTGTGAAAATCCCTAGAAAATCCACCCTGAAAGTAAAAACGGGAAAAGGAAAATGTGGAAAACGTAGAAACTCCAGAACAATAACAACGCAAATCTTGAGCCCCGTGGCGTTCTTGGATGGATGTGGATGTGAATGTGATGGTTATTGGAGTTGAAGATTGGAAGTACGCCCATCAACCGCCCCACCTCCCCTTCGATAAAAACGCCCCCGCCCTTCGACACTTGCTGACGTTGCCGGAGAATGCCTACAGAGGTCATTCCAAAGGCAACAACAATTCTCGAACAGCAGAGAGCCCAAAAATACCAGAAAACATCATCGAAATATGTATGTACATATACATACATACATATATATCCACATCCATCCGCGGCAACAGCAACATATTCCACATCAACAGCGGTAGCAGCAACAACAACAACAGCCAACTGATGTAAACAAAATCGAATGAATTTCAAAGCATATAACAGCTGTGACTCGCCAAAAGAGCGAGAGAGTGAGCAGTGCTCTCCCCCGCACACACATACACACACCATCGCACCTGCATGGAAAACAGAAGCATACGGCGCTCTCTTTAACTGTTAAATTCTGTGACGTTATCGTTGCAGACCAGAAAACCGGCCGGCTCTTTTAAGCTGCCCTACGATAACATTTGCAGGGCATAAGCGAAGCTGTAAAAAGAGAGTCGTAATAAATTTGGAATTAAATTGTTTTTCTAGTTTAATAAAAGAAAAACTTAAGCACTGGATGTTTAAAAAACGCATTTGTTTAAAAATATTACAAAAGGTCAATGCAACTCCTTAAAGTATGCAAAGATCTGTTAAGTGATAGAGATCGACAATAGGAAATTACCATGACTTAACCAATATATCATATAAGATCTTAAGCAGTATAACTCACAACCACAAGTGACTAAAGTTTTGAGCTTTTTAAGTACTAAAGCGAATTTGATTATAGAATTGGCCGAACCTTTTCGCCTCTATCTCTCTCACGTTTGTTTTGAGGCTGAGGTTCGCTGCTCAACAGCTGTTTTCGCAACATTGTTGCTCCGCCATCTCTCACAGCTGTTATCGCTCTGTTGTTGTTGATAAACCAGAGCGAGTCACAAACACACGCACACATAGACACTGGAATTATGATGCGGGTATGCGTTGACAAGTGCTCTATGGTTTTTCGTTTTTTTTTTAACTGCGTAGTATGTTATGCTGCTCGTTTTTTCATTTCTATGCTCCCGCTACATGGCATCTAGCGATGGCGTCATAGTTATGTTGATAGTACTGCGCATTTAGCATAATTGGATCTCTTAGATCTTAATTTTCAAATGTTGTCCACTCTGTTAGCCATGGAAATTGCAGTTTTTCTTTTTAACATTTTTATGCTGCGTGGAGGCCACACGCACACACATGTCTCTTATTTTGCTTTTCCAAGCGCAGGTAGATGCCATAGAAACATACAAATGTATGTATGTTGAAATCTAAGAGAGAGAGAGGTTCGGAGCGGGAGAGCGAGTGTATAAGCCACAGTGTGTGTGTTTGTGTGGGTAACTGTAACGGGCCGTTTGCGTTTCGTTTCGTTTTTCGTTCGCTCGCTCGCAGTCTCTGATAGCCAACTCTCGGGAGCAGACCGATAAGCGCTTTTTTCGGGCCTTTTCCGCCAAACCAAAACACCAGTAAAATAGCCAACAATCAAGTGAAAAATAAAACTAACTAAAAAGCCAACACAACAAACAAACAAAACAAAAATAAACCCCAAGACAAACGGGCACAATTTTTGGTGTTTCGTTTCGTTTTTTGTTTTTTCTTTGGCCCACTCAAAGGTCATAAAGAAAATAACTGAAAAATCAAAACAAATCAGTGCAGCAGCCGCCAATTGCATACCATATTGCTCTCCGGGTTCAGTGTGTGTATGAGTGTGCCAGTGTTTGTGTGTGAGAAAACTGAGAGAAAAAGTGAAACAACCGGCAGCAAAAGCGCGAAAAACAAAAAACAAAATACAAAAAAAAACTTTCCCCCGCAGGAAGTTGAAACTGCAAGCTGACGTTACAAGCGGTCAAAATTGGATTATGCTTAGGCACAAACGCAACTGCAACGCCATTCAGACGCCCAGCGACGCCGAGCATGTGAAGTTAAAGCCGCACTTTCCACCGCCCCAGTGGCTTCTGCACCGCGTCACCTTCTCTCTGGAGCTGTATCACAAAAATATCATCAAGAAACTGCCCAGTTTTGGAAAATTCCACGTCTTCAAACTGACCAAGAACGTCTGCCAGACTTAAGTTATCAATCCAAATAAAAAAAAAAAAAAATATCAACAAACTCCCACAAAATAAAAGACAAAGTGCGTTTAAATTTTCCAAAAAATAAAAAAAAAAAGTGTAAGTGTGCAAAAAAAATCAAATACTCAAGTGCAATAAAAAGAAAATATAAGAAAAGCAAAAGTGCTTAAAGTGCAGGAAAATGTGGCCAGCCATTAAGGCCAAGTTCAAGCTCTAAAGTTCAAACAACAACAACAACAAAAAGAAAAAAAAAAAAAAAAACAGACGTAAAAAACTAGAAAACCAGCAGAGGCTGGAAAATCAAATTACAACCAAAACCCCCCACCATCTCTCCCACAATTGGAAAAACCGAACGTAGAAAAATGTCGACCGGTCGCCGTTTAGCCAAACGCTCCATAATCGGCACCAAAGTGTGCGCCAAAGGTCCGGATGGCCTTTGGTATTCCGGTACCATCTCGGACGTGAAAACACCGCCCTCGTACATGGGACCTCTCTCGCCGCCGCCGCCGCCCACATTCTTGGCGCCCGGTGAGGCCCAACTAAACGCCGATACGCGCTATATGGTCCGTTTCGATTTTAAGACCGCCGTCGAGTCCCCAGCCGCGTCCACATCCTCATCGTCATCCACGTCGTCATCTTCCTCATCCTCGTCCTCGTCCACAGATCCGTCGGTCATTGTGGAGACGCGTCGCGCTGCCAATGTCCACATCAGTCCCGCTCAGGCATTACGTCGCAGCGCCATGATCAAGGAGTTCCGCGAATCGGATCTAATTGGTCCTGGCTTCCGTTCTATTATGGACACTGAACTCCAGCCCGGGCAAAGGGTCTACTTTACGTATAATGGACGCGAACAGAGCGGCGATGTGGTGAAACATGATGCCACTAAGGACGAGGTGATTGTCAAGATCACAACAGTGGGAAATGAGGTGAGTTGGCAATCTTATATCTTGAAATATAAGTTATAAAATGTATTTTAAAAGTTATAAACTTCAGAAGGGGTTACATTTTTATTCTTTGTAAAAATCTCAAAAAGTGTTAGAAAGAAAAAAAAGGTAAAAACTATTTAAATATTAAACTTATAAAGGGATTAACTTAAAAGTCTTTCTAGAAATAAAGTTCCATTCTTTGGTTAACATAAATAAAGTAATATTAATCAAAGTTATAGATTTTCGATTCTAAAAACAAGAGAATTTAAATATTTACTTAACGTAATGTTTTTGGAATAATATTTGTCTTTTTCTTTTTGGAAAAAATACAAATTATTATTATTTTTTTATATTTTTTAACATATTTTCTATATATTTGTTTAAGTTCTTTTTCTTAGAGTAAAATATTTATAAACATCTAAAATTTCTGGCAATTCCTTAAACATATTTTCAAAACTAAACCTAATGACTCATTTTTGATATGCACCCGAAAGTTTTATCGAATCTCTTGGAATAAAACTTAAAATAATTCACAAAAAGTTTTAAGAACATATTTTAGTCACTCCAATTATTTTTTTGATAACAAGCTTTTCCTTATTTAAACTAGCAATTTTATGCTGCCTTTAGATACATTTTTTTTTGCTTTTTTGGGGTTGACCGCTGCAGTTGAGAAAGGCTGCTGGCTGTTCTGTCGACGTCTGCGTCGTCATCATCGGCAACATCATCATCATCATCATCATCATGATTGTGGGGCGGTGGAAAGTGTGTCAAGGTTGCCTTGCCACAGCTAGCCCCTCCCCCAATTTTTGGGGCGCAGCATACACATGCACATATGTATCTATGCGCCTATATACTTGCCGTCTATTCAGAGCATATATTTACTAGCACCCCCAGTACAGTACCGTACGCCATATAGTTATATAGTTATATATATCGTGTGTATATGTGCAATCACGTTCTATGTGCAACTATGCAACGAACAAAAAAAAAAGCAACAACAAACAAAATAAAAAGAAAAGAAAAGCACAAAAAATACTTGTCGAGGGTCGCATTCCGCTTTTTGGCACGTAATTGGGTTACGCTCTGGGTTTTGGCCTTCTTGCGTTTTACGCTTCGATATATAGATATCCCCCCCTTTATAGAGACAACCCCCTTTCCCCTTTCCCTAGAGTGGCTTCCCCTCAATGGAGGGTCAACATGAGCCCTTAAGATTAGATTGGCCAAAGCCAAGTTATTTCTAGATTTAATTATCTTTTATGTCAGATGAAATGAAAATCTCTTCTGGAATGATTACAAAATTAAAAATATATCTTTAAAAATGCAAGATATTAATACCAGATAGATCCCCCTAACATGATCTTTAGCTAATCCTCCAGCCACAGCCCCTTTGTCATTACGTCACTCGAATCGTTGAACTGCTCGCTAAACAAACACAAACAAAATTAATAAATAAAAGCAACAAAATGAATAAAAAAACAACAAAATAATTTGAGAGTAAAACATCGGATGGGGAATTTATAGAATCGCCCCAAAACCAAATGCGAACCCAAAAAAAAAAAAAAAAAAAAACACAATCTCAATGACGCTGTTCTGCGGATGAGATGATCGCTATGATGATGATGATGATGATGTCGTAATGAAAATTTGTTTAGAATTCGGTTTTCGTGAAAGAATTCCGCTAGAGCAAGAAGAAGAGAACACCCACCATAAAAAGTACAACAAAAAAAAACGGCAAACTAAAAGCCAATAAAGACAGGGCATTAAGGAAAAACAATTGCAATAAATGCGCTACAATTTCAGGGCTAAATAGAGATACATGGCTTGATGTTTCTACGCTTTACAGCTAATTATATAGATTAATTCCACGGACGGCGACCGCGCCTTAACAACAACAACAACAGAAACAGCAACCGGCTAAAGAAAAGAGAAGGAAATAAACAGATAGAGCGAAAGAGAGAGCAACAAGATCAGATGAACTTTTCGAATTGCGTCATAAGTCAGACATATAGATGGCAAAGATACAAAGATAGTTAGATACATGAGCGGAACACATGCATCTCTGAGATACATGCTCACACAAACACAAACATAGATACATTTACTTATACCAATACTAAAGTGGTTTGCCGGCTGACTGCGCTGCGGCGAGAAAGAGATGCAATTGCCGGCTTCAAGCTGTGCTCTGTCCCTTTCTCTTCCTCTAGCCATCTCTGTCCCGCCACCTTTGGCTTTCCCCATGCAGTTTCCACAGTTTTTTGTTTGTTTTTTTTGCCGGCCTGGGGTATTTTTCTCTCCACTAATAATCGCTTAAAACATTTGTAATTGTTGCATACGAATGCCGAGATACTCGTCACGAGTGTAGATGCACTGTGAGAAATGGAAATTATAAAAGATATATTCATATTGAAGATTGCAGTCAAGTCAGAAAGTAGTTAGATCTGTTCTATAATGATATGAAAATTTATCATAGATATTACTACATTTTTCCCTCTCTGTACCCGTATGTTTCCCAGATAGAGAGATACAGATACAGATACAGATACGTGCTCCTCAATGCCAAGTCAGCTGCGCGTATCTTTTCCGTGTGGCGAGTCGATAAATTTGTCAGCTAGCTAGCTAGCTAGATGCCAGATGTGTGGGCTTGTCCCCCAGTCCGATGTCAGCTCCATTGTATCTGTTATTCCAGTATTCAGTATTCAGTATCTAGTATCTGGTATCCAGTAGATACGCGGGGACTGTGACCCGATCGAGTTTTGATGTCTTGCCCAAAAGGGGGAAAACACTGAAAATGTATCTCACTCTAGCTGGTTTTTTTTTTCGTTCGGCTAAGCTTTTAACGATCGCTGAAAAGTCTCAACATTCGAATTGGAATTGGAATCGGAATCTTTCGGCATAATCAGCTATGGAAATGTGAGTCGTAAACGTGCGGCTTACAAGCTCCAACTTCTATGACCTCATCATTAGCCACAAATTTGAAAATAGCTCGGCTAGTGAAGAGCTCAAGTTCGGTCGCTGCTGTTGTAAGTCAATCAACAATTGGTTTTTTTTTTGTTTGCTGGCTGGTTTTGTAATCGAACAAGAGAGAAAAACAATTTTGGTGGGTGGGGTGGCGATATTTGTTACATCTATCAATAGTTGTGTCCTCGCTGGCATGTGATGGTCACGTGTGTATGCGTATATGTGAGCCGAAATTTGTTCAATTGCCTTTGTTTGCCACAAAACAAGTTTTTTTTTCTCTGCTTTTCGGTTTTTTTTGTTTGCTTCGGGAAACGTGAGGCAATTAATTCTAAGGTTATTTCAAACGAGAGAAACTTGTTGCACGCATTTCCATCGCCACCATCGTCACCGTCACCGTCACCGTCATCTCCATTTTCATTTACATTTCCCCATGTCCAGCCAGCATTACCATTTCCCATACCAGCTGAGAGCATTTCAATTACGATGACGTATAATGGTTGGTGGCTGGAGCCATGAATCAAGTGGTTCTTACAGGAGCAGCCCATATAATTTGCGAAGCTCATTTAATGGGGAGGCCAAGAATTAAGCTCAGCTGCCGTTCCAAATGTCGGGGATAATTTGTCAAGAGAGTTGGTAACCCAAGACTGGTAGCCCAACACCGACTTCCGCCCGAAAGTAATTTGTAGTTTCGCCCTCCCCCCTTTCGGTTTGCTTATCTTACCTGTGTTTTGCATTTAAAATTAAATTCATTTTAATGGCATTGAAATTGACATTGCCTTGTGATTTTTTCTGCTCGTTTTTTTATTGGTTTGCACGCAATTACTGCTCCCATTTCTCCGGCTGGCTTTTTACTTTCATTGCTTGTTCGAGAAAAAAAAGAATATATATTCTGGCCTTTTACTTTTCTGGCTGCGACCCATATTTGAGTTTTTTTTTCGTTTCTTAACCAGCTGATCAGGTGAATGGCAATGTCAGTGGCTGCCCATGGAAGCAGTTCGGTGGTAATTACCGGAATCCATCAGAGGGTTTTCACTCTTTCTGGTTGGAAAAAACTTTCCTCGCATCTGTGTTGTCTTTACAAATCCATTAACTGAGAGATCGTTAATCAAGGCTCTTGATCAGCTGAGGAATCTGAGCATTTATTAGACCTTGTTTGGGATCCTGTCTGTTCTTGCTCTTGCTCTTGCTCCTGCTTACACTTTCCAATATATACATATCTCTGTATACTTTCAGGACTACCCGCTGTTCAGCCCGGTTTCTGGATATCGAAAACGGGCTAACGACCTGCCCAGGGGTATCCTCTAACCTCTCGCTCTCCGTCTAACCATACCTACCCGTCTTTTTTGTCGGTGTTTTCTGTGCATTGCTATGGTTTTACGATACCGGCAAAAACATAAATTCCTTTTTCTTTTTTCCTTTTTTTTTGGTTCTTTGCCTGTATGCCGTTTTTTCGGGTCTCGGAACAGGCCAAAAAATATATATGAGTGGCATGCCACTTGAAGACCCATGTTTTGGATTTTTAGGTTTTCGGAATTCTGGACAAGGCATGGCCGCTGCACTCTAATGACTAATCGACCTTGTCGTAGATCTTGCAGGTAGAAAGTAAACTCTTTTTGGCAATTTATAATCGGCCAACAAATAATGCACTCCAATTGGAGGTAATAAATCCAGAGGAGAGCAAAAAACCAAAAACAAAGACAAAGAAATTTTATTTTTGGCCTTTTGTGTTTTACGTATTTCTTGGGGTCTTTACGGCTTCGATGACCTTTTTGCAGGTTGAACGACTTGTCCTTTGGTGGTTTTAGGTTACAAGTGGTCTCGCTCCTCGTCTTGATCTGCTGGCATAGTTTTAATTTCTTTTATGACTCACGAGCCCAAAAGGGAGCTAAGCTATATCACCCACCATTGCCACAACAATTGATTGCCAATCGAAAAACCAAAAAAACAAAAGAGAAAAATAAGCTGAAGGTGAGATACCAAAAATCGAAACGACTTTCAAAAAAATGCATATAGCTTGTTTCGGTTTCGTTTGAGTTTTTTTT